AACCCGAGCTCGGAGAAGGAAGAGATAAGAGGGCCCTATGGAGAATGTGGTCAGAAATCCATAATAGAGTCCGACCACAACGACCGAATTGATTATCTTCATGCATAAGGATACTAGATTACCTAGTATAAAAGATTGAAAAACCATCACAAACCTCCCTTTTTTTCTTTTCTATTTCAATTTCTGGATTATTATATGATGATTTTGCAACTTTCCATATATAGAAATAGAAAGAGATAGACTAGAAACGACATCTCTTATGTCAATGACACCAAAGGGATATTAAATGAATGGAATTGGGATATGGATGGAATATAATGAAATAGAGCCGCTTTGAGGTTCCCTATGAAATGAGGCATNAGTTCATATTGGTCATGGGTTGAGAACGGGAATTGAACTCTATGAGATCTAATCTCCCGTTGTTCCTCAGTAGCTCAGTGGTAGAGCGGTCGGCTGTTAACTGATTGGTCGTAGGTTCGAATCCTACTTGGGGAGATTTGTTAGTTATCGCTTTTCTGACCTAACGGCCCCTGTCCTTCTCCTTTGTTTCTAAACTAGCTGAATCGTGTAAAAAGTGGGAAGTTGATTGTTGGTTTTGATTCCTCACTCTCGTATAGGTGAACTTGGTTCGTTAAATTCTTAGGAAGAAGAAGGATCAACTGGGAATGAATGGGAAGACTGGAGTAGTATCTCTTCATTAGTCGGAAGGAATTTGTCTCCACTAGCCTCATTCGAAAAAGAAAAGAATCCGAACAAACAAGAAAAGGGTTTAGGTAGGATAGTGCGATGTAGTCCAATGGCTAAAGCTCTGCCAGCTTCTTGTAGACTGAACTCTCTTTAGGCTCCGAGTGGTTTTCGGGTGGGATGGTTGAAATTTGCTTCGCCACTAGTGGCAACGAAGTTCTTCGTAATTCAAAAGGGGGAAGGTTAACCATTCCACTCATTTCATTCATTCAGTGCCTGCGGTGAGGCGCGACCCACAACAAAAACAAAGGGGGAAAGCTTGCTTACTGTAGCCCTCTTTTAGTAGACTAGGCTTGGTAAGCGTAAGCTATTTAAGTAGGCTCGAGAAGGGTAGGCTCGCAGCTTCGCCAGAAGCGACGAAGGGGGCTGGGGAAGAAGGCCGACGACTACATGAGGGGGAAGCTGTCGTAGAAGCTTTGCCCCTTGCTTTACAGAGATTGTTATGAATTGACTAAATGACTAGATTCTCCCGGAACGCTAGCTAAGCTAAGAAATAGTATTAGTTCTCTTCAATCAAATCAATAAGTTTCTTTTTTTTTTTATTGATTCAGGGAAAAAACCTCCTTCTTAGAACCCATTGAGGGGGCCTCGGCCCGAGAAGGGGAGAGTGGCCGAGTGGTCAAAAGCGGCAGACTGTAAATCTGTTGAAGTTTTTCTACGTAGGTTCGAATCCTGCCTCTCCCACTTGTTGTAGACTGAAGAGAAGAGAAAGGAGGCATTCGTCAGCGTAGGAAGGCCCACCGAGCGAAGCTCTTTCTTTTTTTGGCCATGCCGAAAATTTGATCGTATGTTAGTTAGAGAGGTTGGCGAACTACTACGATCAATAGATTCCCCATCTATATCCAATCCCAACGGGGAATAGAAGCGAGTCGCTTCCGGCTGGCTTGTAGTCCTAGTCTTTTAGCTTATGTAATGGTCGGCCTTCCTACACGCACGCGCCCGCCGGAATGCCTCCTTGTTTTCGTTTTGGACGAAGCCAAGCCGATACATACAATATACAATATACGATAGGCGAAGGGAAAGACCCCCATTTATTTAATAGCGCCTGGGCAAGTTTGATCGAGGATTGGAGAGTTTAGTAACTCGACTGAAAGGAGAGGTGGGAAGAAAAGGCTCGGGATGGATTTAGGAGTCTTTGTGCGAGCCGTATGCGGTGAGAGTCGCACGTACGGTAATGAGGGGGGTTCGCGTCTATACGTGTAGTGTGGTGGTTGGGCCTACCCACCCTATTTGTTCCATGATCTATGGGTCTACTGGAGCTACCCACTTCGATCAATTAGCCAAGATTTTGACCGGATACGAAATCACTGGTGCTCGATCTAGTGGTATTTTTATGGGGATTCTATCTATCGCTGTAGGATTCCTATTCAAGATCACTGCAGTTCCTTTTCGGGCGGCTGTAGGACGGACGGCCGCCTATAGGTGGTAGGGTAGGGTGGGTGGTACCGCTCAGATTGCGGCCAATCTTCCTAACCGCGCGCGGGCCGGGCTTAGAGCGAGTGAAACTCATCACTACCTCGTAAGGGCATTGAGACCATAGCATGTTACACGAGGAAAAAAACCTTGTAGTGTTGTCATACAGCTGCCCGCCTAGAAGAGCCACTCGCTCTGTAGTGTTGTCACACAAGATAAGCACGCCGCCCGCCTGCTGGCCGGGCGAATCGAAGTTCTCTTCCGGTCAACTGTCCACCCAGTCAAGTGCAAAAAACACAGTAGAATCACGCAACGCACGCTGCTGGTGTGCTTCCTGCCCGCGAGGAAAGAAAGAAGAGCGACAAGGTTGAGTTCTGATTTGACTGTTTGCAGCATGGGAGCAGATTACCCAAAAAATCCCTGGGAACAATGAAAAAAAAAAGATATCTCGGTAACAAAAACCATAGGGGGCTGTATTGGCGAGATCCAACGGTGAACAGCTGCCCAAAATCAAAACCGCCTGGAAGTCCGAGGACCTTTAGTACCGTACCCCCAAACCAGCAGCCTTCGCGCCAAGCAAGACCGCCCTTGTCCCTCTCCTTTCAGTCGAGTTTGTGTTCACAACCTCTCCCTTCAGTCGAGTAAGAAATACCTCGGGAAGTAGGGCTCCTATTGACTAAAGATTGGTTCTTCGCTTTCCTTTAGAATGAAAGTAGCTATGAAGCCCCTACCTACAACTTACTTTGTTTGATTCAAAAGGCGAACAGCCCCCCCCAACTAGTCGTATGGGGTGGGGTTCTTGTGATAAGCTGCCTTGGATATGATAAATTCCTAAAAAAAGGCAAAGTCCGCTATTAGACGAAGATCTTCCTATCAATAGATAGGAATTAGTGTTCGATATAGGGGATAGGATCTATCTGCTCTCTCTTAAAAAAAATTGAGAGAGCAGATATAACGATATAAAATCGGAAGGATAGATAGACATCTAAAGAAAGGGATGTCTATTCTATTCCTCTTTTTTTTATAGAAAGAAAAGATATCTCGTTCATCTATCTTTTGTTTATTTATCATTGATTCTATCTATGAATCAAGTCGAATTCGTTTTTGGCCGAAGCCCCGAATGGATTGGATCGTTTCCGCCAACGAAATGAACGCGGAGCCCGTTCCGAATGCTTCTTCGATCCGGAAGTTCTCGCGAAGAGAATAAGATGCTGCTCCCCCTCCCTCTGTCTTTTTTCGCTTTGCTAATCTTCCCCTTCCCCTCTAACGGGGGCCAGGCGGCGGCGGGCGCGGGAGGAAAAAACCTAAGAGCGTTTTCTCTTAGGTCCTTCTTTTTTCAGTGCAACATAGGAAAGCGCCCTCTTTTTGTCATCTCTGCAGCTTTCCAGATTTTGTATTGAACGCATGGCGTAGCTAGGACCTTCAAATCATGTTTGAGCCTATGTTCAAACAAAACCCATCCCCCGGGCTGGAAAGAATGCCCGCCAAGTTCTGATAAGGTCTCGACGAGCCCCGGAAAGGCTCGGCGAAGGGAGGGAGATGCGGCGGGGGAAGGAAAAGGCTTTAGGAGATCGAGAGATTTTCTTTCTTGGCCGAGGATGGCCTACGGTGCGTGTTATCTGAAGGGAGCACGCTTTTTCGACCGCGGTGCTATGATTGCCGGAGCCTCTCCTCGTTCCGCCCGCTGGCCTATTGGGATAGCAGCCTGCGGGCTTTGCCTGCCCATTAGAATATAATCAAAAATTCCGGCTCGGCCCGGGAAAGCGCTGGCAACAACAGAAAGGAAGGGGTCCATGTAGCTGCTGCGCCCGCCCCTCTTCTTAGTCAATGGGGCAGCAGGTTCGGCATCTACTAGAAAAGAGAGAATCCACTTCAGATAACCACACCTCGGCTAGGCAGCGTGTGGAATGGCCGAGAGCGGACCTTTTTGGATATATAATCCAAGTCGAGAGTGGAGTTACAGGAACAGCCGTCTGATGGAAAAAAACTTTCACGTTCGGTTCAGAGAGCACTTTTTTCGTTGAGAATTCCTCGTTCCCTTTCGTGTGAATTCCCCAGTGGCGAATTTCAAACTTGTGGGTCTATTCAATCTTTCGAGCCCCGAAGAAAACCCCCTCCCCCTCGGACTCCATATTCCTTTTGACTCTATATATGTGGGCACCAGATATCTATGAGGGTTCACCCACCCCGGTTACAGCATTCCTTTCTATTGCGCCTAAAATATCTATTTCTGCTAATATTTTACGTGTTTCTATTTATGGTTCCTATGGAGCTACATTGCAACAAATCTTCTTTTTCTGCAGCATTGCTTCTATGATCTTAGGAGCACTGGCCGCCATGGCCCAAACGAAAGTCAAAAGACCTCTAGCTCATAGTTCAATTGGACATGTAGGTTATATTCGTACTGGTTTCTCATGTGGAACCATAGAAGGAATTCAATCACTACTAATTGGTATCTTTATTTATGCATTAATGACGATGGATGCATTCGCCATAGTTTCAGCATTACGGCAAACCCGTGTCAAATATATAGCGGATTTGGGCGCTCTAGCCAAAACGAATCCTATTTCGGCTATTACCTTCTCCATTACTATGTTCTCATACGCAGGAATACCCCCGTTAGCCGGCTTTTGTAGCAAATTCTATTTGTTCTTCGCCGCTTTGGGTTGTGGGGCTTACTTCCTAGCCCCAGTGGGAGTAGTGACTAGCGTTATAGGTCGTTGGGCGGCCGGAAGGTTGCCACGAATAAGTCAGTTTGGAGGACCGAAGGCAGTTCTCCGTGCACCGGACACGTAGCTTACCGAATCAGTTGCGACACCGATGGGAATGCATGCTACGAAAGATAGGGTCGAGTCTGATACATCAACCGTCTACTCAATATCCTTAGTAGAGTCCACAATCACTACACGAGATGAACCTTGGTTTGGTGAATTGAAGTTCGCCTTAGGTGTAATAGGACTCCCAGTTACTGCGCGCGATCGTATACTGAGGTGCTCCCCGCCGGTTGTTGGAACGACGCGAGCCGGGACGGGCCTGGATTCAGAAAGATGAAGGGCCCCAAAGTATAAATAGGGGGTTACAAATTCCCCATCTCATTGGGGGCGGAAAACGAATCGACATCTCGATGTGATACAGCCTTTTCTTTTTTAGTTGGGAAAGAACGGCGAAGTCCATCCGAACCGAACCGTCTAATGAAGAATAAGAGGAGAGCAAAGCGCCAATGGCGCGCGAAGCGCATGCGGAGCAGGCACGGAGAAAAATCAGTGTGGAGGAGAAGCAGCCGAGCTCATTCCCTTCGCATCCTGGGCCCAAAGCAGTGCAGTCTTTCCTGGCCAAATCAAGGATTTGGGGCTTCTTGCTACGCTACTTAACTATATAAATCCTTTAGTAATATATAAATGGAAAGATAGATCCATCCATCTATCCTATCCGATTTCCATTTTGATATCTAAAAAAGAATCGATTTCATTCAACGTTTGATTCAAAGAACTGCGCTTAGCCCCCCCGCTCATGAAACGGCTCTGCTGCAATGGATGGCAGAGGGTCCGTAGTACCCAAAGCACTGGAGTGATCCAGTATAGGGAAGGGGCCTAGAAGTGCCTACTACTACACCATACTACACTTGGCTCTACACATTTACCGAGCTAACCCCTGTCCAGTGCCTGGCAGAGCTAAGGGGCTTCAATCCTTATCCCCATCTTCGCCCAGGCTAATGGGGCCTTACTTATTCAAGGGGGAGCCCCGAGAAGCACTGTTGAGAAGAAGATCCTAGGCCCCTCTTCATTCTCTACAGGGTTTCTTTCTTCAATATATATAGGTGACAACGAGCGAGGCAGAGATGGAAGAGATCAAAGACGAGAATAAGAAGCCAGTAAACTTCCTTTTTGATCATTTTGTTTGATAGAGGGGGATAGAAAAAATGGACAAAACTGACTCGCATTTCTCATCGAACAAATACGAAAAAAGAATCATATTGAAAACTTAAACCTCACCTCTCCTCTCGTTTCACTCTCGAGGAACGCCTTACAGTCGAGCTCCTTTGTCACTCCGTGCCTCTCGCAACAAGTGCTCGAGTCATGACTCCGAGGAACGCCTTTTCAGTCGAGTTGCTAAAGCACCTCTCGCTACGCTCGAGATCTTTGAACCTTTTAGTCGAGTGCCTTCGGCCCTCTCCCACCAAGGATAAGGTCTCATTAATTAGTTGATGAGGGGTTGAGTTACTGCGTTCCTAACCCAACTCCCTCCTTCTCCGAGCTTTGTATTATAAGTGATCCGAACCTGCCCGGAGTGAGCCTCCCATAGAGGCAAGTTGGTGAGCCGTATGATGGGCAACTATCTCCTGCGGTTTGGAGAGGACTCAGCTGTTAGTTAGTATCCCCTTGGTTTCGGGGTGGACCCTTTCACTCTATTTTATTATATACGCTTAGTGAAAAGAATGTTTTTTGATACACCTAGGACATGGATTCTATATGAACCAATGGATCGTAATAAGTCGTTACTACTAGCAATGACTTCCTTTTTCATTACTTCATCCTTGCTATACCCCTCTCCTTTGTTCTCAGTTACTCATCAAATGGCACTCAGTTCATATCTTTAAGTTCGATCATTGACAAGGTTCAAAGAAAGGGTGGGCCGTCGGTTTGAATCCAATATTATGCACTTTTTTTTTNTTTTTTTTTCAAAAATACGGAATTCACAACTAGAAAGGGAAAGGTTTCCGCTCCCCGCCATCAACGGTAATCAATTCTTAAAGAGTAAGCTCACCGCTTTCTCGCTCACTCTTTCTTCTTTCCCTTTGGCTGACCTCGCTTGACGGAAGCCTGCTTATTTAGCGATACAACAAAAGAAAGCGGCGGGAATAGAAAATGTAGCCCCTATCTCTTAAAAAGAAGAGGTCCAACGAAATGATACTGATAAAGGAGAGTAGAAGGTTCCACGAGTTATTTAAACCTCTCCTTACAGTCGAGTTATTCCGGCTTGATAGT